AATGAAAAATGGAGGGGATTGTGCTCGCCAAGATCATCGCAATCTTGTGCCTACGTATCTTACATTCAACAGTGAATGAAGAATGAGAGTGTTCGTAGTTCGTGGATATGACCACGAAAGAAACTGGATTTGAATTGGATTCGAAGTGAGTACGGATGACGATTACTCGAAGTTTAAGAAAGACTTCTCGGACCCAAGTAATCGGGAGAGTGAACCAAAGACATGGAACACTCTCTTATTCATCATGAAGGAATGATATGTTTGAAAGGATAAGGTTGAAATGATGACGATCACTTGCAGCCTAAGAAAGACTTCACAGACCCCAAGTAATCGGGAAAGCGAACCAAAGACTTGGAACACTCACTTTTTCATCGTAAAAGAGGGTTGTTCGAATTTAAAATGGTGTATAAAAGGATGAGATTGGTCGGATGACGACTACTTGAAGCTTGAGAAAGGCTTCTCGGATCCAAGTAGTCGGGAGAGCGAACCAAAGACTTGAGACACTCTCTTTTTCATCGTAAAAGAAGTTGTTTGAAAGGTGAGTGAAAGGATGAGTAATTGGAGATGGTTGAGTATTATCGAGTTTGTTAATATTATTTGAAGGTGTCAATTGCTTACACACGAATAAGATAACTCGCATATAAACAGTTGAAAGCAAGCTCAAAGACTTGAACCCAGTCTTTACACCTTGAAAAAGATTGAATAGTTGTTAGTTGATTGATAGTTTGTTTTGAAAATCCTCTTGACGTTGGATCAAGGGTTTGATTCATTATTGCGTGCAAAGCGTGTTGGAAATGAAATGGCTTGAAAGAAGAGACCGGATTGACTTACGCATCAAGGGTCGAGTTGTAATAGGTTGATGGCGAATGCGTATGAGCACTCGACTTATGGGTTGTTTGAAAGTGGCTCGATGATGAATCGAGAATAAGTTTGAAAATAGTCTGAATCCGCTCTAGTCCCTATGGGTGCTCCTAGGAGACAAACTAATAATCAAAGAAATGCGAAACATACATCGGAATGGGAAAGGGATACATGTAAGTTACACGGGATTGCACGAAATAAATGGGTCTCATTGTAAGATAGCCCAAGAGAAAGCCGTGTGTGTGCATTTGTGTCCTAAACTACGCCTTGAGCAAAGTCGGGCACGACTTAAAATTAGGATACCTGCAAATGACCAAAGATCCAACAGTCCACCAATTTGGCTTTTAGGAATTTCGATAATTTATTAGGTATTTTCAAATATGGGTGAGTGAGAATGAATAAATATGATAATAAATAATATGAATAAATATGATAATATGAAATAATATGAATAATGTTTGACAGAAATTAAATTTAATGTTAGTTTACCGAAATAAAATCGAAAGAACAAAGGTGGTCTCGGATCCTTTGTTTCACGCCACTAATGTGACGGTTAAACGGTGGAAGTTTCGTCATCGACCGAAACAGTGAAAAATAAACTAAAATAAATAAACGTCGACCTAAAAACAAAAATAAATTAAATCCAAAATCAAAACTTCTCTCAAAATTTAATTAGATAAAAACTAAATAAAGTTAAGAAATTTTTTACATAAACAAATAAAGAATGGGGGTATTAAAACTAATGGATGTAGAATCATATGGGCTTTTTTAAAAAATCCCATCATCTACCTCATACAAAACACACGGTTGAATATATATAAAAAAATTGGGGGAAAAAAATCAAAAGGGTGGTACAGCCAGTCCACATGCTGAGCTGAGCCCAATAACTCACAATTTAAAAACTTAAAACTTAAAATGAGAAAAAAAAAATAAAGATAACAAATTAAATCAAGAAGGTAACTAAACATTCCAAAAAATGTAAAAACGGGAAGAGAAAGTTGGAAGACATAATCACGTTGGACGCAAAACCAAATCAACAAGCAGAAGTTCAAAATCATAATCCCAACCTTCTTCGCGAATCTTCCGTAATCTCGCTTTGTGTATCGTTCAGATTCTCGCTGGATTTCTCGTTTCACTCCAAGCTTCAATCTGTTTCAATCCAGTTTGTTTCAACTCAACTTCCTCTCCGATTTCGATTCTAATTCATATTTTTCACTTCTTCTGGGTTATTTTCTTTTAGTTTAAAGAAAGGGTTTGATCGTTGTGTTTTGAAAGAGTGAACAATGGGCGAAGGAGGTTAATGTTGTTTGATTGAAGGTTTTGAGCGGGTTGGTTCGATGAAGATTTGGGGATATGAGGGTTGAGTTTAATAAGAGAGGAGGGTTGAAGGGGTTTGCGGTTTATTGTTGGTTGAAGAAGGATTGGGGTATTAAGGGTTGAGGTTGAACAGGGTTATTTGATTTATTGAAGTTGGAAGAAAAGGTTTTTTCGATTGAAATGGGTTGAGTGATGTTATCGCAGCTTTGAAGGTTTCAACAGATAATGATTGTTTATGGTTTTGTTGATTTTATGAGGGGAGGTTAGATTTGGAGAGGCTAATGGATGTTCAGAGGTGGAGATATCTTGAATACGGGTTTTTTGTTATTTTATGAACTTTAGCTGTTGGTTGAAGGGAGAAAAGAGGGAGTCTAAAGGTTTTGAGGGAGATTTCACCGAAGGGATTGTGGGTTCTGAGAGGAAGATTTCATGAAGTTTTGGGGCTTAAAGTTGAAGAAAAGGGCGAGTTGAAGAGTTGATGTGTGAAATAGATTGGTAAGTGTTCGGAGATGTGAAGGAGGTTTAATGGGGAAGCGTCATTTGAAGGTTCAAGATGGGAGGCCTCATTGAAGGTGATAAGGAAGGGCTTATGAAGTTGAAGATTGTTTGTTGTTCTGAAGATCCTTTCCGTTTGAGGAGTAAGTGAGGATTGTGAAATGGTTCCCCTGGGTTCAATGCAGGGTTTCGGTTTTTATTCAAGGAGATGGAGGCTAGGGTTTTTTCAAAGTTGTGTTTTTCTTTGAGAGCTGATGGAGAAAAAAAGAATAAGGTATCCCCCCTCCATACGATCTCCCCCTCCCTCTTTTAAGTTTCTTTTTTCTCTTCAAAATTGTCCTGTTGCTGATGTCCAGTCATTTTCAGGTGCAGGTATTGTCTGGTGTGGTTTGAAGGGCTAGCTGTATGGTTGTGCAGAGTTTGTTGCTTTTGAGAGGGATTTTTGTGGGGACCAGAAGTACGACCTCATCTTTAGCATGAGCTGGAAAATATGTGAATTTTCTACCACCAATTCATCATTTTCACCGTGGTAAATCTCTTTGACTTCTTTGATGTGGGCTGCCTTGGTTTTGTGACTATCATACTGTCTTGTGCATTCCATTAAGAGTTTTACTGCTAACATGCCACTTTTCTTATTGTTTGAAGGTATCAGAATCTTTAATGCACCAAGAGCTGCTTGCCGGCAAGACTAAATTTTGACTTGCTTGTATTCATGACGAACTTGGGAATGATGGATTCAACATGAAGAAGAGTATAACCCGGCGTGGAAGGGAGGTTAATGGCTGATCCTAGGCCTTGTATTTGATCCAAGCATAAACTTCAATTTTTCTCAAAATTGGCTGCCATGTGCAGGGCTGCCGTACGGTTTAACAGCAAGCTGCGATTTTGGTGGATACGTGAAGTTGTGAGGGTCATGTTTAACAACATTCTTTGCGGCTGTGTCATGATTAATTCCGCACAAAGTTGTTTATGCAAATGCACCGTGGTTCAGGTTTACTATGGCGTGAAGATTTTGTTGCAACTTTGATTTATGATATCATGATGAATCAGGACCTTTTTCTATTAGATCTTCGTTGCTGTCATCGATTTCTTCTAACCATCAAGTGCTTTTTTAAATGTTATGTTTACTAGTAACAAAACCTGATACTTGTTTCTAATAACCACGAGCTTATTTTTTAACTGAATCTTACTCTCTCGATACCAGGTTGTGCGAGCCTTGGAAATTGGCACGAGGCTTTTAATGACGGAAACACACGAGTGGTCACAACTTTAATGGTAGAGAGTAGGGATCAGGAAGGACTTTGGGAGGTAACCTGTCATGACGATAATTTGAAGAATAAGAATCAGAATTGTAAGTTTTAAACCCAAAGTCCACTGCATATGGCTGGTACGTTCACAATGATTCGCTCATTCTTTGTTACACTTCTTTCAAGTCGAATACGTGATCAATCAAATTAAAGAAATTATGGAACCTTCACCATCTCTCTATGCAGGTATACTAAATTGTGAGAACAAGTTCTTAACATGAATTCTTATGCGTCTGTTGTTGGTACAGGTGAGAACCGGAGGTGTCGGGAATAGCATAACTCGCGACTGACCGAGCCGCAACTTTGAACAATGTTCTCTATCAATTCAAGCAGATGGAGCCTATTTCTATTTCGACATTCTTCATGGTAATTCCTCTTTCCATTCAACTTTTCCTTTTCATCTCTTTTGATGCCTTTTATTCATACTTCAATTTGGTCCCATGTTCATTTTCCCATAACCTTGAACTCATAATGTGTTTGAATGACATGGGATAAAACTCCGACCCGATATGTGCAGGTGGAGGCGAACGATAAAGTCCATGGGCAAGGTTACAAGGAACAATGAGCTACTGGATGGACATAATCTTTGTGTAGCAAAACCTTCACTTCTTCACTCGGTGGTTCTAATCGCACACGTATGATTCTCTTTCGTCTAATGCGAGATTTTCAACACCGGCAGGACTTCCCATATGCACTCACATATTAGGTATTTATGATTCGAGTTCTTCAATTTGAGTCAATGGTTGTAATCTTTTAGCTTGTAATAATGTTGTCCAAGTTAGCAGGTTTTTATAAATCAAATTTCATCTCATCATCCTCTGTTTGTAATTCTGCAGGCCTTGGTTACATGTTGCCGTAATTCACATGGTATAGTCGCATTGTACGGGTCTTGTTGTGCAAAAATTCTTCGCATGAATTTCGTGGCAATCAAATGAGATTAATGCCTTCTGTGATAATTTCTGGTTGAATTAATTTTGTGCATCTATCTCTTGTTTTGCAGGTAATGGATGGTTTGGGATTCTACAGCTTTGATGCTGCACTTTTGTCTACGAACCATTTCAACTCCCCTTCAGGTGAAACTAATGCAGCAGGAAGCCTATCAGCTGTTTCAAATCCACTCAGCACAGAGTGAACCATATCTGCTTTCCCAGTACCAGTCACCACAAGTGCGATGTACGCAGAGGCGTTGATCACGGGAAAGATAAATGCTATTCTCTCTGGTGGCGGTTTTGGGGAATCAGTAATGGAGATGCAGAGCGTTCTTTTGGCGCGGTAGTTACGGTAACCGTTTTGCTGTTTCTTTTGTGATTTTCTTTCATACTGAATACAGTTTTTTTGGGCGTATTGTTGGATGCGTTTTGATGTTGCCAATTGCTGCACCGTTCTGGGATCACTCTGCAGGTGTGTAACGCGGTCGAATCCCGTACTGTTGCGGGTTCCTTCTGAACTGTTCATTGTCCTGCAGGTCGCGCGGGCCAAGTGCTTCCAATCGCTAGTTGTGGGTTTAGCTCACGTGAATAGATGGCTTTGTGAGTACTGATGCGTGGCAGATTGCAGAGGGGGTCATGCTTCACAATAATAATTGTGTAATACTTTGTAGAGAAATCAGTAATATGTTTTCCAAATCAAACTCTTCAAATCAACATGGTTCTGTTGTGCTTATTTTTGTGACAATGTTCCATTTACATAGGCCTCTTGTTGTAATGGAAACGTTATATATAGTTTTTAATTTTCTCAAATAGAACTTTCCTCACTTGCTGAAACTTCTTTCCAGCTACCAAATGAACATAAATGGACTTGTAATAACAGTTAGCTTTGAACTTGCTATTTGCATCTCTTGTCTCTCTTCAACAATGCTTTGCAAATGGGCTATGCTTTTATGGATTTGAAACTTGGCACATCCCATTTTATTTAAATTATGCTTAACCATGAAACAAAAAATGAGTTTGATTCATGACTTGAAGATTATATGACCACAAACATTTCTTACTAGCCAACATGTCCATGCCTTAGAATTAATGATCATGTCTCTCTTAAAAATCTTTGAATTTAATGCCAATATTAGAACCAAAAATTCATTTTGAAACACATATCTCCAATTGATCCCTATACGCGCATCATTTGGATCAATACTCTCCCCAACATTGTGTCTGAAACAAATCTTTGTCTGACAGACCAATTAAGCCGTAACCATTGAAACTCAGTCCATACCATATGCCCGACTTCAATCTTTATCTATCAGACTTAATTCTAGTTAACCTTATGATATCCGAGCAGCACCAACATATTTTTTTTGATTTCTTTGAATAACGCAAGTGGGTGAATATACAAAATGGAGGCTATACAAAGGTAGGACAAATTAGGGGTATGACATACATAGCTTTGGGATGGGTAGAACTTGGCCCTACGCTCATGTTCTCCAAACCTAAACCTTCACCTGTTTACCTATGTGTATATGTGAATCTATGCTTACTTGTGTTTGTGCATTCATGCATTCATGAACATCATATCATAAAAGTTTCATGGAACTCACACTTTTGTTTGTAAACATTAGGATCATCATGGATAGTGGAAAAAAGAAAATTATGAAGTACACTTACAAGAGTCCTAGCTTGGATGACATAGAGAGGTTGAGCACTTTGATAACAGATCTAGAAGGATTCAAGAGCAGGTATGGGAACTTATTGTCATTGTTGAGGGTAAAGAAGAAGATGGATCTGGGACTTCTCTCCACACTTCTCCAATTTTATGATCCGCTCTACCATTGTTTCACTTTTCCTGATTATCAGCTGGTACCTATACTTGAGGAATATTCTTGCTTGGTTGGGTTACCCATTCTTGATGAGTCTCCTTTCCCGATCATGGAGAAGGACCTTAAGGAGGAAAAAATTGCTAAAGCTACACGTTTGAGATTGGTGGATATTCAGAAAAATATGGTTACTAAAGGAGGAGTCTTTGGTTTGACTGCAGAGTTCTTGGTTGGGAAAGCCCAATACTATGCTGATCATTTGAGTATGGATGCATTAGAGGCTATCCTTGCCTTGCTCATTTATGGGATCTTCTTATTTCCATGTTTTGATAATTTTGTGGATCTCAACGCCATTAAGATTTTCTTGAAGAGAAACCCTGTGCCGACTTTGCTAGCTGACGCCTATCATTCTGTTCATCTGAGGAATCATCATAAAGGAGGAATGGTTACCTATTGTGTCCCTTAACTATACAAGTGGTTTATTTCTCACTTACCTAAGGCTCATGCTTTTGAAGGAAGGTTGGTGGTCTTAGAAGGTTATCGCTCTTACTCACTTTGATATTGATTGGTACAGCCGTAATTACGATGTGATAAAGATCATTGACAGTTGTGAAATTTTCGGTAACGTACCTCTTCTTGGTACAAATGGAGGAATCATTTACAACCCTGTTCTCGCTCGCCGACAGCTTGGATATCCTTTGAAGGACAAACCCAATAGCGCTCATGTGGAGAATATTTTCTTTAAGGGATAATCAGAATTAAGAAAAGAGGTTCTCAAAGCTTGGGGTCATGTACATAAGAAAGGAAAGGAAGACTTAGGGAAACCTAATTGCATCTCTCTCGAGCCTTATCTCCAATGGGTCCGAAAGAGAGCTATTCAGCTGAAGATGCCTTATCCTCAGCAGGAACCCATGGTTTTGAAGGAGGAATCCCCATTGATCTTTAGGTCTGAAGAGGAGAAGTTGAAGATTGCTTTGAGAAAATCACAACAAACTGAAGTAGCCTGGAGATACAAGTACCAAGTGGCCGTGGAAGAAAATAATGAACTCCATAGACAACTTCAGTTGAAGGATGAAGAAATGATTGCTTGTAAGAAGAAGAAAGCGCAAGAAGATTTATTCTATTCCAACCATCAGTCAACTCCATGGAAGTTAATGGTGGACAAGCTCATTCTTGAGAAGACGCAGATAGAAGAAGAACTCAAGAAGATCAAAGCAAGAAAGGACTTTTGTTAGAATATCTTTAGCTCTGTGTTTAGAACTTTTTGTAAGATGTACTATTTTGTAATTCAAACTTGAAAATCAATGAAATGAAATGATGTTTTGATGTTTACAAAATCGGAGTTCCATGAAACCTTTGCATTTGCATTCTCATTAATTAATCATTCAAGGAACTAAAGATTGTTTTGCAGATATTATAGGATGGATTCTGGAAAGAAACCAGAGATTGTGTTCCGAAGCCCAAAATTGGAGAACTTGAAGAAACTGGGAAGTTTAGTAGAAGACCCCGAGGCATTCAGAGAGAAATATGGGAATATGTTGTCTTTGCTAGAAGTTCACGTATATGAAGAGATGTTGTCCGCACTCGTGCAGTTCTATGATTCAACCTATCATTGTTTCACATTTCCAGATTATCAATTGCTGCCAACCTTGGAAGAATATTCTGCCCTGATGGGAGTAGGCGTCACTCCTAGACCATTTTCTGGAAGAGAAGGGACTCCTAATGAAAGAGCAGTTGCAGAGGCCGCGTATTTGGGGGTGGACGAAGTACGATATCATATGATTGCTAAAGGAGGGTTGTATGGATTTCCGACTATGTTCCTGTATGAAAAAGCTCAAAGCTATGCCGTGTCGAAGAATTCTGAAGCATTTGAGGCCATCCTAGTTTTACTAATTTACAGACTGTTCCTATTCCCGACTGCTAATGATTTTGTAAACGCAAATGTAATCAACCTTTTCTTAATCAAGAATCCTGTACCTACCTTGTTAGCTAATGTGTACTTTTCCATCCACCGTAGAAACCGTTATGGAGTTGGTCAGATTGAGTGTTGCACCGTTCTCTTGCGCAAGTGGTTTATTTCGCACTTGCCAAGAATTCCAGCCCTCTGGGATAAGCAAAATGGGCTCTCATGGATTGAAAAACTGTTGTTACTCAAACATTCAGATATTAAGTGGTATGACCCTAGGTATGGAGGGATTGCCATGATCCAAAGCTGTGGAGATTTCCCGAATGTACCGCTCATCAGCGTTAATGGTTGCATCAGCTATAATCCTATTTTAGCTCGTCGACAGTTGGGGCACCCGATGGAGAATGAACCAGACCCAGACTTTTTGAGAAGTTTCTACATTGAAGAGGGGAAGAATCCCGCTTATAGGGCTCGGATTGTGTATGCTTGGCGTCATATTCACACGAGGGGAGTAACCGCCCTAGGTTACCACGACACTACTGTTTCAGAATCTTACTTATCATGGGTAAAAGAAGCAGCGTTGAAGATGTGCTATACTCGCTTTGAGCCTGACTCACCCAAACCTACTCTCGTGGAAGAATTGAAAGCTGCTTTGGCAAAAGCTGAAAAAGAAGGAAAGACTTGGAGGGATAAGTATTTCAGGGTTATGCAAGAGAAGGAAGAGCTTCAGGAGTTGATCCATCAAGGTGGAAAGAAGAATCAGCCAGAAGACTAAGGACCCTCCAACCAGAAGATCTAAGATCCTTTTGTTTTCCGTTTTATTTCATCATGTATCTGTATTGAAGACTTGTATTTCAGTTTCAGAATCGTTGTTGTAAAACTCTCAGTTATTAATCTATGAAGACTTTGAATTTGCTTTATTTCACCCATTGTTATAATGTTTGCAAATATTTCTTTAAATTCCTTGAATGATTAATTTTGCATTGTTGCATTTTGCATTTCATAAGCATTGCATGTGCATATTCTTGTGTTGTGTCTCATCTTGCTGTCTTGTCTCCAGAAAGAATCACATTGAATCCTCAACATCGATACAACACCCGAGCCCAAGCTCGTATGAGAATGGAAGGACAGAATTTGGATGTGGAAAAGATTGATAATGAACTCGGAGAGCTACGAGGAGGCATGTGGCAGATCATGGAAGCCTTACAGGTCATTCGTGCAAAGTTGGACACTCAAGCCACTGTTGTTTCTGAAATCACTGGCATAGCTGTAGAGCCGATCCCAACGGCAGTCACTGTTGCAAATGTTCCACCATATGGGTTACCACCTGGTTTTGTACCTCCACCAGCAGTCAACCAACAAGCAGTTCCCATAGGGGCAGAATTTCCTCAAGTTGTTCCTACATATACTCCAGCTTCTGTTCAAGCCCAAGTATGCCCTGTCCTCCATAACCCTCCACAAGTGTATGAAGGTATGGATGGGTCTGAAGAAGAGAGTGGACGACATGAAAAGTTGAAAGAGAGTGTAGAGACCATAGGCAGGAAAGTCAGAGCAATGGAAGGGAATGACATCTTTGGTACTGATGCCAGAGATATGTGCTTAGTGTCTGGATTGGTAATCCCGCCGAAATTCAAAGTTCCCAATTTTGATCAGTATTCTGGTGCTACTTGTCCTCGAACTCCTCTGATTATGTACTACCGAAGAATGGCCGCTCATGTAGAAGATGATAAGTTGATGATTCACTGTTTCCAGGATAGTTTGAAAGGAGCTCCTGGTAAATGGTATTTAGGTTTGGATCAG